ATACTTATATATATATATATATATATATATGATTTTTATATTTATGATTTAAAGTTTTATCGAAATAAAATGTATTTAAATGTCTTTTGATCTCAAAGTTTTTATTCCAATTTATTATTTTATACCTTAAATTTTCAATAAATATCTATCATTTACATTATTTTTGTATTGAATTGAATGTATATATATGTACTGTACACTTACTGTATGTAGAAACTAGGATGATTTTTGATTTATATTTCAAAAATAGTTTAAAAATAGTACGAATTTACACCAAAATAAACAAATTTCTTTGAATTGTATAGGATATAACTTAGAAGTTATAGTCATATCTATTATAGTCCCTCCTAAAAATCTTTCATGCTAGCATCACCAGGAAGTAATAAATATTTATTGACTATGAATACGAAACATCATATTCTGACGTGGCAGATTGATACATGTAAATCCATATCCAAAGAATTCTTCCAAATTTCTTTCCATAAAAAAAATATAACTTAAAAAATAAAAATATAAAAAAAGTTATTACTCATGAATATAAAATTAATTTAATATAAAAGTATAAAACTTGACTCTTCATGCTTAAAATACTTTCTATTTTTTAATTAATTTAAGTTTATTATTAATTAATATTAAATTATTTTAAAATATCTACAACTTGTCTCTATTTTATACTTAATTTACATACTAGTTTCTTAAAGAGAGTAGCTACATTATAAGATAATTTCTTAAAGAAAATAAATAAATTTAATTTAACAAACAAAGTTATTTATAAGTTTATTAATAAAACTATAAAAATATGTATTTATATTATTATTGTAATATAATTCCTGTTTTTATAAGATATACTCCAGGCATAATAATGTATATAAAGTAATTATTATTCTATGTTATATATCAAAAACCTTATTCTCTCTTATCTCAAATTATTATAAATTATTATTTTAAGCTTATAAATAAGATTTTCAACTTGATAATTAATAAAGAATAATTAACTATTAGGAAAAATCTACAATATATATCATACTTTATATGGAAGTTTCTTAAAGAAAATATAAAAATTATATATATTAAACAGGTTTTAAAGATAAGTTTAACGATAAAAATCTTAAAAAATTAATAATATTTGTTTTAATTTACACTTTTATAAGTATTAAACTTTCTAAGATGTATTTAAAGCGTAATAATATAATTAGAAGCAAAATATATTTTAATTAATTATTATTTAACTTTATATAACAAGAATGATAAGTGGTTTCTCTTATTAAAAATAATAATTTATCATAATTATTATTATTAATTTACATTAATCTTAATGTTATATAATTCACTTGAAGTATTAAAGTGTAAATAATTATGGTTGTACCATAAAATTATAAGCGAAAATAATTCGATTATAATACATTAATATGGATCAAATACCATCAAAATAATATTTTAACAAATAAAATTTTTCAAATAATAAATTTATTTTAAAAAAATTTAAACAATAATGTATATATTTATAAAACCTTTTAAGAAAATATCCTTAAAGACAAACTTTTAAAATTTTAAAAACTTAATTAAATTGTTTAAATTGCTTTAATGTTGTTGCTCTTAATGATATAAAAATTTCATCAATGTTATCTTTTACTTCGTTTAAAAATAAAGATTACCTGTCTTAAAGATTCTGTATTAAAAATTAAATTGGCTATTGACTAGTTAAAATGTTACTAAACTTTATAATTTATTTTTATATACAGTACAAAATTTAAAATTAATGTTTTATAGAAATGTAATAAGAAAATACAGAGATAATTATATTAAATGCATATACTAATTAAAAACTTATTTTTTTTTATAATTTTAAAACGCAAAAAAATGTTTGGATATTTAGAAATAAACTAAAATAAACAAGTTACAACATGTTTATTTGTGAAATTTGTTTGTTTCTTGTCATTTTTTACAGGGAATAAAACTTTTTCGTATAAATATAACAAAAATACCATAATATACCTATTTATTTATTTATATACAAAAATAAACAAGTTTGAACACGTTTAGTTTTGTTCATTCCTGCTTTTTTTTTTTAATATCTCAATTACTTGTATATTACAAGAAATTGACACACGTTCTTAATTTCAAATTATGAAACAGACATGTTTATATTACATATAACAATAAAATATGATATAAACAATGAAAACGACTAAAAAATATATATAAAATCTTTTACAATAAAAATATCACATGCAGATATATACATTGTACAGGAACGTACAGAAATTTACAAGACGTACACACAAGAATCCTCCTAAATGTATTAATGAGATTCCTGAAAGTAAGAATGCATTTTTAGGGTTACATTCAGTGTTCCATAGTAATGTAACAAGATCTAAAAGGGTCAGTGAGCATGCCGGAAAAGAATGACCTGAAGGATGTCACCGAACGTGATCCAAGTAACAATTTACACTCCACCACCTTCAATCATTGAACGATGGAGATACAGAGAATTGAACAGAAATGTGTAACAAAACACCTAGCACACAAGTCTTATAAAAAGATTTCTTTCGTTTAGAGTAAGCCTATCTAATTTTCTTCTAACAGATAAAATTGCTATATTAAATTTCATGGTTCTAATACTTCAAGAAAATTCCGAAATTAAGAACTTCAATCTTGTTTTTTTCCTCCTCTTTTACTAATTCAAAGAAAAAAAAATGTTTTTCTCTCTTAACTTTAATTAAATAAATTATTGTTGAGCTAACTAAACATCATTTTTACGTTTTAATTTTTTAAAATTAAATTAAATTAATTTTAAAAATACTATATATATATATATATATTTAAGTAAAAAAATTAACGTTAAAGAATATGTATTGTATATATACTTTCTAACCTTAATTTATCATTAATTTTAATAGTGAATTAATGTTGTACCATTAAGAATACCATTTATATAATTAATAATACCGTTAATAAATAAATACCATTAATTAAACATTCCATTAAAGCAAATTAACAAATTATATTAAATATTATAATTATCATTAATGGTATTTTACCATTAATTTTATTAAAATTGTTCGAATTATTAATTGTTTATTTATATAAATATTGTTATTAATATTATTTACCATTAATGAGAAGTAATTTTAATGATATTTTCGTATTAAAAGTATAATTTTTTAATCCCAAAATTACTTTTAAAAATTATTCTTAATTTTATATATTTAAAATAATTAAATTTATTATATATACTGTATATAACCATCTTTTATAATTATTTATCATCTTAAATTAAATTAAATAATTATATTTTAAGAAAAAAAACTAATAAAAATTTTCTTAATTTTTTTTTGCGTTTAGTATTTTATTTTAGTAAAGTGTAATGCTTAAATTGTATTTATAAGCTTCTTATTATACATAAAATTCAGAAAAATAAATTAATTTATAAACTTTATTCCAAATTTTCTGATAACTTATTCATTAATAAGTATATTAATTGAAACTTTTCAGAGGAGGATGGAGAAAGCATCTTGTGTACCAAAAAGGAAGATATTAATTAACAGCAAAGTTAATTACCCTCAAAAAATAAAAAATATACATTATATATTTATATATATCTATATATATTCCGAATAAAACTGTCAGCAGCAGAGATAATTAAATTATCTAAACAGCTGTTACGATTACTCACAATATACTTCCAGTTTCCATCCTTCTTCTAATGCACTTCCTGGTATCAATGGATTATGAGTTCTGCATGAGAAATATTTACTATTGTCCTCCTTGGTTGGTGTAAATGTGATAATACTGGTAGTTTTATCCCCTTTTTGAGTTACATTAACACGCATTGACTTCATTTGTTTGTTACTTTTCCACCAAGTAATAACAGCAGCTGGTCTTGAGCCTGTCGTTGTACACGTGATTTCTGTTTCTTGGTTAGCTGATAATGGTTGTTGATAAGGTACTACATTGATCTCCATTGGCTTCACTATTAAAATTTAAAAAAAAAAAAAGAAAAAATAAATTACCATTTTAAACCACAGAACAAGGAAGAAGAAGTGGTAAAGTGAAGTGGAAAACTCATCTTAAATTTACAAATTATAGAAAATTCATTAATCATAAATATGCCAATTGCAAAATGTTGTATTTTATTTAAAAAAATTAAAATGAATTTCAATTAAGTAAATTATTAACAGTCGAAAATAAGAATGGAATATGACAATCAATGTCAAAAAGCTGACTGTTTGTAACTTTACAAAACTTTAGAAAAGTAATTTATTCATTAATTCTTATTCTTTACTAAAAATTTTTTTTCTAGAAAAAATTTGAATATATTAAAATTTTTTTATAAAGTAAATTTGTTATAGAATGATGTTTACAATTAAAAAGAAAGGATTAACGTAAAAGTAGTTGAGAAATGAACTTGATCCTCGACCTCTTTCTTCGTCAATCCGTTTAAGACAGATTTAATTTCATCAAGGATCTAAACATTTGGAAAAGGAAGAATTTCTTCTCGTCCTCTTATTTTTTCTGTTTTTTTTCTTATCTTCTTCTAAGATGATAAGAAAATTTTCACTTTGGAAATGGATTATCTTTTCTTTAATTACTTAAGTAATTTATAAAATAATTAAACTAGGATAATTTTTCATTTCTCTTCAAAAATCGAATGAATTTCCTCCACTTAAAAATTATATGGATTATTGAAATGTGAACTGTTTAAGAGAGTTATCAAAAATTTATTTTAGGAAATCAATTAAAATATTTTATACTTAATTATATTTATTTTCCTATAAGTAAATTCGCCTAGATTTTGTTCCTAAAATACATTTAAATTTATTTTATACCATTTAAGAAAGGGTAATATTGATTTAATAACGAAAATTAAGCATTGATCTAAGTAAATTCTCTAAAAGTATTTATTTTAAGCATATGTAATTACATAATCCATATCCTCTTCAGCATCCTCTAAGATGCTGAATAAGGATGCTGCTATAAAAAAATTTATGTATAGGTGATGTAGACTATTGTAGAAAAGTATTTAAAAACTGATTTTCAGTCGTGTTTAAATATAATTTAGAGTAAAGAACAGAAATTTAGATAATATTTGAATTTTTTATAACCAAAAAATTTATACATATATACATTTTTAGTTATAAGAGAGATATAACGATGTTCCTTCTCAGTTTTCTTTATCTCTTACCACTTGTTTGAAGTGTAATTATACAATTTGAAAGATTGTTAATTTTACAAAATTAAAAACTAATTTTTTAATACATAAAGGTAACAAAATATTTAATAATTACATTTATAATTAAATTTGTTAAGCAAAAATTAACCAATATAATAGCTTAAATATAAATGTTTATTTTTATAAAAAGATAATTATAAAATATTAATTACATCAAGTTTATTTAGTTATTTTTGTTAACGAAAAATTGGCTTTAAGCTACTTATTTTTCTTTATTTATTTTGTTTTAATTAATTAAAATGATAAGAAAGTTTCATTTTGGATTTAAAAAAATCTACTTTAGTCATTAAACTGCTCGAGGAGATGGGGGAAAAAATAGGAAAAACGAATTAACTTCTTGGCATGTTTGTTTGTCTGATTGAAAACTCTTGTTGTGGCTGGCGTACCCTGCAGTTTCATTACACACACACACACATACACACACACATATATATAGATATATACGTTATATATATGTCTTACAAGTTGTGTTCTCTTTCAGGAAATGTTTGATGTTATCAGGAGAAAATTCAAGTTGGTGTAGAAATAGAAGCAAGTATCTATAAGGTCGAAGTTAAGTGAACATTCCACAGTAAGAATTGGAGTAATAACCAGTCAGAAACACACTGAAAGCTTTCAGGCCGACTGGACTCATGTCATCCGGATATCCAATTTGGTCAGACACAACTGGGATTAAAGCTAAGCTTACAGCAGGTGGTAACAATATACCAACCACTTCATTACTTGTCGTGTTATGTGAAAGTGATCGCTGTGCTTTCTTGGTTGTCAGAAAGAGTACAAAAGATTGGATTTAATAAGTTGATTGCTTATATCGTACACAAATCTGCTTCCCTTCTACAAAATAAATTTCATTTAATATCTTTTAAAATTTAAATTATACGAGATTATAAAATAAATTAGAATAACGCCTGAAGAGTGAAAAAACAATCAAAAATCATTTTTTTTATCTATGTTATATTTATTTCATTTATAATGAATATATCATCTCTCGATGTAGACCTTTCTCCATTTATACATCCTAAAAATAGTTTTTCTAATTCAGATATTAAAGTGCTAACAATTTTTTAAGTGGTATTTACAATAACTTAGATAAAGACGAGAGGAAGAAGGGAGAACAGTAAAAAAAAAAAAGAAAAAAATATGAAAGCATCCCTCGATCTATGTCTCTGACACATACAGAGTGAATGTTGTGGTCGAATGATTCTCGTCTCTCTCTTGTAGTAACACCTATTCCCGAATGGATATACTTTATTGACAAGGAGGTATAGGATATTGGTAGTAGTCAGAGTCTCCATCATAGGATTTTTCGGCCCAGAGCTATTCTCAGTAAAAATCTTCAAAGTGAAGACTGCAGTTCAGCAATGTGTATGTGATCGGAAACCAATCAGATTAAGTGGAAAGTTTTATAGGTTAGAAATGGCCTAGATGTTTCACATCACCACTGACACCATTAAAACTTTACAACGATTTATATAAAAATAAATCCTATATAGGAATTATATAGAAACATACGTGAAGATTACCCAAAGGATTATACAGGATACAAGTTAGTTATACTGTATAAAATACAAAAAGTATTAGTGTGTATAATTGTCTGAGTTCTCAAATAATATTTCATGATTTACTAAGTATCATTGAGTTAGGTATTACAAAGGGGATGAAAAGTGAACAGAAATATTTAAAATTCTTGTTTAGAACATAATTATAAAATTTATTTATTTTTCGAATTAATATAACAATGTTTATTTAGTGTGTTCCATGTACAGTACACTTTTAAATATGAATCTGAATTGAGAACAACGTATTTTTCTTTCTCAAAATTGATGGAAACATGATAAAACTATTTAAATAAAATATTCATTTAGTCTTTACAATGTTAATTGACTTTTCGGTTATTCACTACATATAAATTCTCAATTTTATGATGAAAAAATTTGCATAAAATCGAATAAAATTGCTCTTTTGAGTGCGTGTCATTTAAATATTTATGTATATAATTTGAATTAAAGAAAATTCATTAAAAAGAATTCATAAATAATTGTTCCGAATATATCACATTATTATTCAAATGCAATAAATAAATAAATAATATATATATATATATATATATATAAAATAAAAACAGGAATGTTATTTTAAATTATTTGCTTCTGNAAAATAAAAACTAAGAAAACCGAATCGACATTAAAAATTGAAGAGAAAAAAGTAAAAGATGTTTTATTTTCGAAGAAAAAGAAAAGGATTATAGCCTATAAAATGTTTATTTGAAGTTCCAAGAGAGAAAGAAATATTGAGCATCACATAAACTTTCATATTTTCAACAAGAAACAAGAATTGTTATACTTCAGTCGATTATCATTAAATATTTAAGAATTTCTAAACCAGAAAAAAAATAATATTTTACAAAAAAAAAATAAATAAAAATAAAACTTTCATAAACATCAAATAGCAATTTAAGATTTCTGAAAATATGGAAAAATTTTATTTATTTATTTCTCTTAATTTATCATTAAAAATAAATTTTTTTAAATTACATTATTTTAAATTTCGTTAAATTAATTTTTTTGCCTTTGTTGTGTTTATAGAATTTTATATTATGAGAATTATATTAAAGAAGAATTTTCATCGTAATATTTTAAAGCATGATTCTTTATGCATCCTTTCCAGCATCCCGGATGCTGGAAAGGATGCTGGAGAAAAACACGAAGAAACATATTAATTGCTTGAATTGATTTATTTAACATCACGTTTTTTGTCTATTGTTTCTACTCTAGAGTCGTAAATAAACGTTAATTAGATTTATGAACGTAAATGGCTAGTTTCTATTAGTTATTCAATAGAAGCTTTGAAAAGTAGTGCTTTGGGAAGATGTCAACTGAATACAGGTGATCATTTAACTACTATCTAATATACTAAAGTAGCTAAGAACTTTTATCAAACATTACCATTAAAGTATTACTGTTATCAATCTTGATAACATTATTTTTTTCTTTTAGAACTTTTGTTTCACCAGAAAACTAAACGAAACAAACTTCTAAAAAAAATTGACTTAAATAGTAAATGAAGTTTACAGGTGTAGCTAGGACGATACAAATTATTTACAGATAGAAATTTATTTTTTTCTACTTGAAAGTGTAGGAAAGAAAGCAAAAACAATATTAGATGTGATATGTCTATAGGTGTTTTAAATTATAATTAAAAAGTGTGTAAGAAATGATTGACCTCCAAGCATTTACTACGTTACAATAGCACATTAACATTGTTTTTCAATAAATAACCGTAACATAATGACAAAATTAACTAAAAGAAACCACTAATTAGGGCCAGATTTACATATTAAGCAAGCTAAATTTTAGGGCCTCACGTTTTTACATTTATTATCATTTGATAAAAGCCTCTTGTATATTAAAACTTAGGGCCTGTCACTGATTACTCCCATCAAATTAGTTAGACAAACTTTAAAGGTCTTTAGTTTTAATTGATTTCTACGCGTATAATTAGTATAATAATTTATATTTTTATAAAAAAATTTATGCGGCGAAGATAAAGAAAAAAAAAAGTTGACACGTCGTATTATAAAATTTACAACGTCATAATTGTAATTTGGGCAACTAAATTTGGTGTTCGTGACCTAACTGGTAGAGAAGGTGTTCAGAGGGAGGAAGATACTTTATATAACTGTTGGAAATATTGCATAAAACCGTCATCAGTTTGGTCAACCAGTTCGATAAGTATGTTGT